AATTGTAGGTTGCAGTCGTTATCACACAGCATGTGTAAATTTACAAACTAATCCTTTTGTTGGAGGATATTTTGGAGGATCCACTCCCCATTCATGTGCCCTAAAGCATTTCAGCTACATGGTTGAAGAATAAGAGTTCAAAAATTCAGTTAAGCAGGATGCAGCTTAAAAGTAGATGTTGCGTACACAGTAGTAGTGGTTGAAAGGAGTTCTTATTTTGCCGCTGATTGTTGCGTGTTTTGGACATTAATAGTCTTTATGTGTAATACGTTATAAATGAAACGGCCCAGCATTCCTTTTAAGGAAATCAGACTTCCAACCTGCACCAAATGTTTTATTGCATACTCTAGTACAATTGCCTAAAATTCGATCACCTGCACGCAAGTAATCAATTTGTTGAGAACTTAACAAACACTAAATTACTTCTTGATATGTCCATGCTTGGGCTCGCTTGTTTGTACTTGCCAACATTGGGGTCATGCTTGCAATACATTAAAGTGCGAACATTGTCGTCGTTTGCCATTCTTGTTCTCTGCCTGATATGTCGTCGGTGAGCGGTGTCGCTTGCTTATTTTTGTTTCTCTTATAGTGATAGCAATTCACCCTCCAGTACCTTTTAGGATTTATATAAGCAAACTGAAAAATCCCAGAAGGTGTATGAAAGAGAGGCTAAGTACGGTGCTCACAACTACCATCCAATCGAAGTTGCGCTTTGTCGTGGGGAAGGCCCCTATGTGTGGGATGTTGAAGGAAATAAATACCTTGATTTTCTGAGCGCCTATACTGCTGTTAGTCAGGGACATTGCCATCCTAAACTTGTGGAAGCACTCATTGACCAGGCTCAACAACTTACTCTTGTGTCGAGAGCTTTCTATACTAACCTTCTTGGAGAGTATGAGGAATACATTACCAAGTTGTTTGGATACGACAAAGTTCTCCCGATGAACACAGGTAGGTCACCATTTCTGCGGTTGTATTGACAACTTCCGCCTACACATTTTTTTCTAGGTGTCGAAGGTGGTGAGACGGCCTTGAAACTAGCTCGAAAGTGGGGTTATAAAGTTAAAAAAATCCCACAGAACGAAGCTATTATTATTTTTGCTGAAGGTAACTTCTGGGGACGGACATTAGCTGCTTGTTCATCTTCTACCGAACCATCTTGCTACTCGGACTATGGGCCATTCATGCCGGGCTTTGAAATTGTTCCCTACGACGACATTCCAGCACTTGAAGAAAAACTAAAGAACCCGAACGTGGCTGCTTTTATGGTTGAGCCAATTCAAGGTGAGGCTGGCGTCCGCGTTCCCTCCGATGGTTATCTTCGTAAAGTCCGTGAGCTTTGCACGAAATACAATGTTCTTTGGATTTCGGATGAAGTTCAAACCGGTCTTGGTCGCACTGGTCGGTAAGTTGCTTTTTGAGATTACTTTGATGAACAGCTTTCCTCTGCACTCACGCCAATACCCAATTTCAGTCGTTTGTGTGCTGACCACGAAGGTGTCAAGGCAGATATTTTAATTCTCGGAAAGGCCCTCTCTGGTGGTCTAATGCCTGTGTCGGCTGTTCTGGCTAACGACGAGATTATGCTCACTATCATGCCAGGAGAGCACGGTTCGACCTACGGAGGAAACCCACTGGCTTGCCGTATTGCCCTGGCTGCTCTCGAGATCCTTGAAAATGAGCACCTGGCTGAACGTGCCGAGGCAATGGGCAAAATATTTAGAGAGTCTATGGCCACCCTGCCGAAAAACGTCGTCGCGTGCGTTCGTGGTAAAGGTCTCCTGAATGCTATTGTTATCAACGAGAAATACGATGCCATGGAGATTTCCCTCAAGCTGCGTGACCACGGACTCCTCGCCAAGCCCACGCGAGAAACAATCATTCGCTTCGCCCCACCGCTTGTGATTAGTGAAGAGGAGATGAAAAGGGGATGTGAAATCATTCACAAAGTTTTTAACATGTACGCCGATGCATAGATCTCTCCCCCCCTCTCTCTCTCTCTCTCCTGTAGATTAGTAAATCTTCCTAACTCCGAATTCATGTTCGCTCGTTGAGAGCAGTATTTAAAGAGTTGGGAATTGTGGTAGAGGGTCGTCTGAACAATGCTATATCCTGGGAGTGGTGTCATACAGCGTACACGAAGTATAAGTGCTGTGGCATATTTGCAAGTTTTAAACAGCTCCATGAGAGTGCCGTTGTTATGGAAGTTTGCGGGAATTCTGCGTCTCTCGGCAGACTTGTAGAGTGCACGAAGAATGTAGATCTGATTACGCGTTTAAATTCCAGAATGTGGCGGTTCCATGCTAGTGCGGTTCCGTGTTGGACTGCTGTGCTGTGAAGATGTTAGTGGTTCATGTTCAGCCTTCAGTTGCCCCAACTTTTTGTTAAGAGCCATTTTCGTCGAGCAAGGAGGCATTTTCGCGAGATTCTGATCTTTTAAATAGTCGGTGTGGAGGAATTTCTGTGAAATCCCTTATTGAGCGAATGAGTCGATGTGATGCCACATTAAAGGCTGGTATGTCGCTTTGCAATTATGCGCGATTAAGCCGAGGCATCCTAGGTCCTAAGCGAAACGCATGAAGCTCACCTGAAGGCACTGGATGTTGGAGTATGTACCAACAGGGGAAACCCTTTGTCTGATTGCTGGGTTATTGTGGTAAACAGTGGAGTCAATGTCTGTCCTTTGGTGGGTACGTAAGGTCACTGACACCTAGCCGATCCAAAGGATCAGAACCAACTTCCTCTCAATGGGGAGAAAGTAAACACACAAACGCAAGTTCTCAAAAATAATCACGAATATGACAACTACACTGGTAATGTGAATTCAATGTCACGCCAAAACTAAGCCTATTTCGATGCGAATTCGGTTTTATGGGAGAAACGACAAATGCAAATAATAATCTTCTGCGACACTCAATGCAGTGTCGTCGTATCCACCTTGCTACTTGTCGCCGCACATTGACCTCAGGGACCTTGCCAACTTTTACCCTAGTCTGTTCTTGCTCAACTGCCATGTATACAAAGGGCGAAGAATCGCGCTCATCGAAGCGACAGTGAAGGCC